TTTTCAAACTTCTGCTAGATCGTTGACCGTACCGCTTTCCAAGAATCGGTTCTGCAATTCGTTGATCATAACGACATCGACACCTTCCTTGTGTATGGAATAGGCAGGGAAGTCTAACTGTGCATGAGCAGGTACAAGCGCAGTCACCACCGAGTTAAACGCTTGCTGCATGTCAAGTCGCTTTGTTGAAAAGCTGTACGTATTCCTAATCAATGCTTTCAATGTACTCACCAACTAGATTCTTTTGCACAATAGTAGATCCAACGGTGACGGTTGGAATACTCTCCACCACATTCAGCTGCGATACATGTACAGCAGAATTGTGAGGTAAATCTTCTTCCAATCGTGATCTTGAAGTACAAATCCCTGGGGTGTGTGACACTGTTGTTTGTGTTGTCAGTTTAACATTTGTACTAATCACTGGGGTTTTGTTAAAACTGTACTTGTATACGCTGTGCTTGATGATGACAATTGCTTCCTCAACAGCTGACTGCACCGCATTTACTTTGTTGTTTGAATTGATTTGATGTACAGCAGGCCAATTTTGTCGCAGATGCTCGCAATTCAACTGTTTTTGTGGCTCCTGGTCGCTTGCTTCATCGAAGTCAGCCAGCATCATAATCGAGCAGTACGTATGGATCAACAGGGTATGCTTCTTTGCTGACTTTTGTATTTACAGCTGTAGCTCTCAAATATGTCTCGATGTCTTTCACTTCCACAGCTGAGTGCAATACAGGTTTCTTACCGAACAAGGTAGTTTGATTTTTTTTTTGCATGCAACTTGCTCGCATGTGATTTTCTACTAGCATTTTTCCTCGCACCACTTGATTGCTTGTTGACGACTCTCCGATTGTTCGCGATTTTCTTCTTCGACTTGTTAGTCGTCTATGAATTACTTCTGTTGGGCAGAGCTTTGTTAGAGTGAGCCGAGGATTACACCACACCTTGTGAATATATATATTGCACAAGCAGATAGATATCGACGCAGTCTATACATTTGAACTTCAAAATTCGAGATCAAATATGTCATCAATGGCGTAAATTCAGGATGTCTAAATTATGATTTAGTATGATATTGTTGTAGCTAGTAGTATAGCGCAGAACACTACAAGATTTTTGTGACATTCAGCGGTTCAATACATGCACTAAATACAGCGATATTGCTAACTATGATTGTATGGAAGTACGATATCCGAGATTTGTGATGCCGTCTATAGTGTAAATTCAGGATGTCTAAATAGCGATTTAACATGGAAACTTGTAGCTATTACTATAGCGTAGGACACTACAAGAATTTGTGACATTCAGCGGTTCAACACATGCACCCAAAACAGAGGTATCGCTAATTGCGTTTGTATGGAAGTACGGTATTCTTGTGTATCTTTTTATATTATATCTTTGTTGTTTGTGTTTGTGTATATAGCTACAGTGTACTATACCATGCGATATTATCAGAATGAACTGGTAGAGACTCAGGAAAGCTTCATTTTTAAAACTTTAATATTGCACTATTCAATATTGATCGTAATCTTGTGCTAAAATTAATCAGCCACTGAGTATTGAGCTTGGAGTTAATCCTTTTTTGGGACTGACCAATGTGTGTTAAGCTTGTTATTTTCCGGCATGGCCAAAATATCAATACAATTACTAAGGACGTCAGGAGTATTTTCATTTTTCTATTTTACTTTTTCCTTCTAAGAATATAGGTTTGGGAGTCCGTCGATTTCGCCCGACGAAACATAGTAATACTTTCGCCTAGACGAACAACGAAAAGACCCTTCTGCGAAATCATTACTGGGAAGATTCTATATAGGCAATGTCTCAACCCTTTAATCCCCACACAGAGTATTGTTGTCTTCACGAGGCCTACTTTCGTATACTTTACTTTTTACTGAAACTCTAAGATACTTCAATATGTTATCAGCTTTAAGACGTTAATATCACCTTAAGAGACCGATTTTTATAATTGAGTCTTTTATTATCTATTACAAGATGAAAAAGGTGATTTTACATAGTGAATAACATAGTTGGTATTAGTGCAACCAATCTGAGCACTCACCATACCCCTACTTTGAGATTTCATTTGCTCGCTCATTTGATTAGGATGTCCCTGTTATGGAGTTATATGTCAAAAATAGTATTAACAAACATCCGAAGACGGTTACACTTACTACAAAACCCGTTCATGGATGGGACAGAAGCATGGCTTCTTTGTAATTTTTAATAAGAAATGGAGTAAGTGGTTACATAAAAATACACGAGACAAACGGAAGGGCTTTCCTTACTGTAAATCCTGATGAATCTGAAATCCCTCATCTGCCACCTACTTCTTATGTGCCAAAACTATTAGAGCTGCTTACAAATAGTGAAGAACAACCTCGGGCTGTAACCTTGCATAATAAACGTAAAGAATCTAAATCGGAAAAGGTTACTGGGCCGTATACTAAGCGACATAGAGTACAACATACGTATAGGACTAGTACATATTCGTATATTCTTGCCTAGGAGACATGACTGACACCGTTTTACTTTGAAGGTTGCTTTAAGAACTAGATTGTTCCCTCACGGACGTTCGTAACTCTGCAGCCATTCTCTTGTAGCGCATGTCTGATACAATTACAACCGATTTCAATACGTCATCACAGACCTCGCGATACCTGGCCACACGTGGTCATCAAAGAATTGGCAATATAATTATGCCACAACGGCTTGCATACTCATGTCTTTTAAAAGATGAGTAGGTTAAATCGTGACGCCGCATCGGAGAAGTGACATTCGTAGAGGTCGCATGTGTGCTCGGACGTGGACAGGTCAATCACATCAATGATATCCCTGTGCAATAGAGCATCTTCCATCACACTTTGAACCAATGCAAATCCCTAGCCCATGATCTGATTAAGACCACAGTCTGAACATAGCTGATTTGACTGTGTTTGTTCGTGTCGCTAGCTCAGAATACGCTACTCCAGTACATTTGGTGTCCTTGAAGGCTTCTACTACATTCTGGTGTTTCAGCTTATGGGTTTACGTGAACCTGTGATGCGAGAATATGTTCTTCATTCTGCTCTTCCAGAACAAAGACACGGTGTAAAGTATTCGCTTGTATATTCTCTAGTTCTATAGTGCCTTCAAACCCCCATACTTCTATTGTGGAGGCGCCGTGAGTGCAATTGAATATATTAGATACACTCAACTAATTTAATAGTCGCATTATATGTGTATATATTTTGGGTTTATCTTTTCATAAGTCCAACTAGGAAGAGTGTCTGAACGACTTCGGGTATCGGTCGTATATTATTGAATACTTAAGGCTCGAGCTAGATATCAACGCTTTTCAACAGCTTTATCTGTAGTAGATTGTATTTCTTGTGCAAAAGCTTGAGGTGCAGAAATTATTATCAACATAATGTTTGGTATTATATCATGCCACCTACTTAATAAATGAGAGCCTAGCTGTACCTTTTCCATATACGTGTGAAAAGACTTCTGATCGCACATCAACGTAGAAACTGTACCCTATAAGTAATCTTTATAGTGCAATAACTGTTACTATAGCCATGAACTGTTTAGCAATTCTTTGTGGTTGGTAATTCAACTGTGAGGTATTCACTGCTCTTCTAAAGACTGAAAATATCGAGGTTTGTCATCTATAACTTGATGTAGAAAGCCTCTTGAGGTAAAACGGAATGCGTTAACATTATGAGTTGGCGACAACTTATTTAGTGGCCTCGTGTCTCAACATACTCTGATCGTCTTTAACAAATCGTCAGACTGCTATTAGAGCTAGATTATCCCGGTAAAGTTTGTTGGAAATCAATTTCGATTACCTCATCGAAAAACTAGTTCTCTATTTGTCCTTCCACTACAGTCTCATGTCGCCAAGATTTATAGCTTCTTGAAAGACATTTTAGCGTAGTAAAGTCTAACTTCTAACTTGATAAAGTCCATGTTAACATACCCGTCGTTAAAGCAGAACTTTGTCCGTTTACAAGTATATTATCCAGTATATTGTCTGCGAAGTTAGGTTCTTGACTGTATCCGAGGGAGGTGTACATGTGTCAGATGTAAAAGTCGGACAAACCAGGCTTACAGTACCATTTCGTTTACGTAAAAGAAATTACGTTATTAAATCAAACTGCAAAAAATCAATCAAGTTTAGCTTCAGCCCTCGGGAATGAGCAAAAGACTAGGGGATTTAAGACAGAGGCTATTGTTTATATAGCTCCGCTCTAATCACTCATTACGTCGGTCTAGATTTGTTTGATATCAGCAATAAGATCAGAGTATATCCCATTGCATGCATAATGTGGACAAAGTATTCTAGGCAGATATTTAGGATCGGACCAGAGGACCGGAACTGAAATTAGAATTTAGGACCGGACCGAGGACCGGACATAGGGGATTGTTTGAGGACCGGATCAGAGGACTGGTCCGATTAGTGGAATAAGAATTTAATGAGATAGAAGTGATGACTCATCCGAAACCATAAAGACGAGTATTTTCATATCACCCGATGGTAGGGCTAAACATTGGTAGACATCCCAATAGCCATAAAAAATAAATATCAAAAGCACCAACCTTGTGCAGTTGTTTCTCTGCACCTATACCCCTTCACTTAGTACCTAGCTCGCCATCCCATTGAAGGCATAGACGGGCACATCTAGTAGGCTGGCTAGGATGAGTCGATATCATGTCCCACTTCTTACTGGATTATCTTGTGCTGAGAGTATTGCAAAATATATCATGTGCCGTCAAGTGTCAAATTTCACCCGAGACTCAGCGATGATTATATCTTTATATTTTGGTGGGAACATATCATAGAGAAACCACCAACATGTTTACAATAGTCTCCACTCTCTATTGTATAAGATCGATTTTTAAAAAAAATCTAAAATTGGAAGATGTAATTATTTTAGCGTGATTCAGAAACGCAAGTCACAAAGCACTACAATTATTATTGATAGACTCAGACATCACTCAGTGGAAAATTTGATAGATAAGTTTCTCAATGGCATGAAGAACAGGTCATTGAACGTAGAGGTGCACACAGAGCGGTTGCATAAAACAATGCAAGTGTTAGAGGAGCGTTACCGAAACACGGGCAAGGAGCCAATACACACACAACTCCTCAAGATAGCGAGATACATGGTACTCATGTACTATGGACAGCAAGAGAAGGTAAACGCAATCATTAAATCAGACAAACTGCCTGATGGAAGTGGTGATCGCTTAGAAAATATGAAACATAATGTGTTATACTCTCCTACCGAAGCAACCATAAGAGCAGCAGCCAAAGTACAAGAAAATCGTTTGCACAGATTGCGTAATATATACAAATCGAACGTGGCTACTCACAGCTTAACACAGAACACTACAACCACTGTTGCCAAACGTCATAAACCAGACAATGGCGCACTAAGACAGACGAAACCAACAGGACAGCCCCAAGAAAAGAAAGAGGCACGCGAAAAAACGTGCACGTCCTTATTGTAAAGCCTGTGTCCTATGAAGGCATCGAATCAGAACAAGAAGGCGGAGGAGCGTGCCAAGAACGATATGCAACTAGCTAGACTGTCTCTCACCTCCGAAAAGGTAGAGGATATAACATATAGCGATAGTTCTGAAAAAGCTATTGGGCGGAAGCAAACATGATTGACCTGGCTGACAGGCTAAATATAAATGTAGATGACGAAACGTTGCTAACAAACAGAAATGATGTAAATTATCAACCTTTATTCTTGCTTTCCGCACCATGAGATCAAAGATTACACATTGATATACGAACTAATTGCAACATATACACTGTACTAATAGACTCAGGTGCACAACGCTCATTTACGGACAAAGGTATAGTAACTAAAGCATATATATCAGTCAGAGCGCAACCGGGCTACATACAACTAGCATAAACAGATGCGAGAATTGAATAAACAGGATCAACCCAGGTATGTGATATTAATTATGGGGGAAAGAATACCTCTCAATGTTTCGAAATACTGGATCTACCAAACAAAGAGGCACCAATACTTCTTATCACAGGAGGAGACAGAACAATTAGGATTATTCCTAAAGACCTCACGCAAATGAAACACCAATAGACTTTACACCCAATACTAGCCAAATATATAGCAAAAACATTCCACCACTACTACTTCTCCATCATACATGTGTAGAAATACGACCTCCGGTCAGTCTAAAGTATCAAGATCAAATGAGATAACACATTGGTTATCTTTGTATTTAAAATATTTTAATACAAGTTCTTTTTCCAATATTTCCAATGTGTTCTAAATTGACTTTGATGGCTCGAATAGCCAGAGTATTTGGTATGACTCATTTACTTCGACCTATTTGAGACGATAGTAGATGTAGGATATTAAAAACTAAATTTTATAATCTCTGAAATAGTTTGGTCTTCCCGCCAATCTCCAAAACCCAATAAGTCTTTTTAATTTTTTAATTTTTCTTCAGATGGAACTTTATAGATATTAGCTAATGTATTAAATTGACTTACGTTCTTATGTCTATCTACAAATTAGACATGTGGTCATGAACACTTAGTACTTCTAGTGAGAATTATTCAATAAAGAACAGCTAGAGGTACGTCCTGTGTGATCGAGGTTATTAAAGCTCTTACCAAGAGGCAGTCCCAATCATTCTTACACAAGCTACCACTGCTAAAGCCTAACTGACTTAAATTGTATCTTAGTTTATATAACATAGTTTAAAACATAGAAATATCCATCGAAGTTTATACATGTTCCAGGCAAAGGTAACCGAATGGCAGTTGTGTTGCCGTGTCTACACGAAAACAAGTTTAATACCAAAACGTTAGAGGTTTTTAAAGACGCGAACAAAACAACACATACACAGCAGCGAAGTAGACCATGACATACCATCTTAGAAACAAACATGTCTATAACCATTGTATTATGTTGTATAGACTAAATGTTACACCTCAGATTCTAAGAAAAAACTGAAAGAAGGTTTGATAGATTCATGTATAGTAGATCTGTTGACATCGGCACACAATGTACATACAGACTAATTCAATTACACAAAAGAATTGAATATGCTCCTACAGAAGTGTGTGCAGGAAGTAAATGCATGGTCAAAACCACTGTGGGAACTCATACCTGGTGTCTTGGACGAAGTCATTGAGGAAGATATCAACATCATAACAGTATGTGTACCATACTACCCCATGCAACAGTGATTTTCAAAATTTCGGTCTTTACTAGAAGAAAACCCGATACTAGTGGAAAACACAAACAACACAATGTCCGTAAGGAAGGCACAAAAACATTTGAATGTCACATTAGGGATAATATTATTTATTTCAACAACAAAAAAAGATTTGTTACAATGTATGTATGTAGTAGTGTATGAACATATGATATGGCTCTCATAGCCGTTGTAGTGGTTCGGGAAAATCGATGGGAAGAAGTGGTCAGTAAATTACCGTTTGAAGCTTGGGCCAAGTGAGTCGACGATGGATGATATGTGCTGAGTCAATTCGGGTCGGTGCTGACAAAACACTGTATGACGAGATGTGCTCTCATTATATGTCATAATCAGACCAATGAGCGACAAATCAGCTGCAACTGTAGCACGTACGCTGTTACCAATAGCGTGTGAACATGGGCTCCCACAAATCCTACAGGCAGACTAAGGCACTGAATATTTTAATGAAATACTCTCAAAAGTCATTGAACAAGTGCCGACACAACACTTAGTCTCTCGCTCGGCACAAACTATTTAGAAATTTTATGCATGTGCTTGGCTACTTGCGCGAATCTAAATATGTAAATTCGTGAATATCGTGAGTTCAAGAATCGTGACGCATCATGAATGCGGAATGTCACTATATGACGCAAGTATTTATAATTTATGTAAACAATACTTTAAAAAAACAAAAAAACAAACAAAATACTGCTAGTTGGTCAAGGGCCTCAACCGCCTTCAAAGCTCAAACCTCACGGGGCTCAAACATCAGTGCATACTCCATTGCTCTTTTACGAGTTTACCGTGAGCGTAATGGCTATAGTCACTATAGTGTATAGATAGTAGTATTGTTTACCCTGTATTTAAGGTCTATGTACTGAATAGAAGTTGAACGGAAACGCATATTTTATTCGATTTATATAAGTAACAACATTTTCAACTTTGCACTTGGGAGTTGGCATTCAGACACCTATTTCTGTTAAATTGAACAACGAGGGTTGTTTATTTACGCCAGAATATTGAATATAAGACAATCTTGGTAACCTGATATATACACCCTGTATAATTTGGTGCTTGATGAGGTGATGACTCGTTCTGTGTATCTTTTGAAAATTTAGGTCTGCGGGCAATTTTGGGTTCAGTTCGGTAAAAAATATTTACGTACATTTCAGGAGCTTTTTTTAAAAGAAAAGTGAATTCAGAGTTACGTATCGGTTGCTTTTTTAGAAAAAAACCTCCCCAACCCCTACTACTAATCTACTAAATAAATACATAAGGACTTTGAGTCTTTGTCAACTTGAGACTATTATGTATAGACCAGGGTTGTTAAACGGACAAGAAAAGTCCTGCCCGGAAAACCATTTGCATTTACAGACAGCCGGACAAAGGGCATTATATGGACCAAACAAACGGACAGGCATCATTCTTGAAAAGGACAAATAGTTTGGGTCAATTTGTACCAGGCGAACGGGACACACGGACAGCCTCAAAAAACAGGTCATAATACCATGGGCTGCCTTCCCCCCCCCGGACAGTTTAGTCCATTTGTCCGTTTAACAACCCTGGCACAGACTGGGCAATTGTGCAAGTGTGCAGTGTGCGGCACACCGCAGGCTCCAAAGAGTATCCTTCCGTACGTCACATACATACCACCAATTGTGTATTTGACGTCATATTGCTTCGTGTAAAACGAAGTATGTATAGTACTTTATTTCTTGTGAAAAAACCCAGTTTGTCGGATACAACAAGCCAATAAAAAGTTGATTTTTAAGATGAGGTTTCTATTGTTGGGATTCGTTTTCTCTTTTTATTTAAAAAACAATAAAAACAAAAACAAAAACTACAAAAGAAACCATAAATACATTAGAAAAAATAGGGTTTTTTATTTGAGGCAGAGTGTACAATTGTAAATAAATACGTAGAACAAAGTTACTGTTATTTGTGATACATTTTAAAAAACAAAAAACAAAACAAAACATGAAAACAAAGTTTGTTAATAATATGCCAAAAACGAAAAAACAACAACAGTAGGTTTCATTGATTTAAGGTTCATTTATGAGCTATTTGATCTAATTGGAATCTTTTGAGCATTTTCCACTGCATATCTTTAAAACTCCCAGATCCGAGGCATACTCTATAGTCATAGTCTATACTCGATTGTGTAGACTACATATGTATAGTCTATGCAGTATACAGCACGTAATACATACTGCCTGGCAGTATATACGGGACTGCTCACTGCACCTTACCAATAATTCAAGGAGAACTATATGTTTAAATAGTTTACTTCGATAAGTATCTAGCTTAGCACGAATAAGATCTGCTTCATGTCTCAGTGTAATTGGGCAATGCTTATAGATTATTAGGCTCATATATACGGTTTTGCTTTACGGTTGTAATTTCAAATCGCAATTCGCTACGGTATGGGATTTCTTGTTGACACACTTGAAAGCAAACGAACGAAATAACAATTGATCAATGAGCTATAAAACCTTCGGAGAGCGAAAGTGATTAGTCAGTAGAACTCAATTTAAAATATTATTCGAAGTATAGAACAGAAAAGGGCTGATATTTTATTCGGGATGGCCAGTTTAAAGCAAGCATGTAGTCGTCTTAATAGCTCCGCTGCTACACAATCAGAATGGACTAAGAAAGTAGAAAAGCCCATTGCCGTTGCAAATAGTATTTGCAAGCCTACTGGTGAAGCGCATTGTCAACTACGCCGGTCTATTGAAGGGCATCTAGAACTGGAGCGACGAGCGTCGTGGTACTTATGATTTGGTGGTGTGTGCCCTTGATATGGAATATCCCTCTGCTATGAAATGGGGGTTTGAACAGTAGTATGGACTTTGTAACGAGTCTAAACTTTCTGATAGTCGTGGGCAGCAGAAACGAGTTTTTCGTATGGTTCGTATACATACTGATTACCAATGTCAGTGTGTTGCTATGTGCTCGGTCTAGATTCAAAATATTCCTCAATCGCATGGCTTACAATCTGGGTGGTCTTCACGCAGGCTTAGTCATGTTCCTAATAGTGTCACTAATTGCTCAGATTATCATCCGATATAATGAGGTGGACACAGTGTGCTTTTCAGCCTTTCTGCTAGTTGGTGTTCTGGCTATATCAGTCTTTGCATATCCAGCTTATCGACACAAGCAGAAGCACCATGATTATTTCGAATACAGCCACCGCTTCATTGGCTGGTTGCTGGCTGTAGTCGTAATTGTGCAGATTGTGTATACCACAGTTGTAACCAATGGTGATCTCTGGCGCTCCGCATCAACCTACTTGCTGGTGTGTTCAGTGTTCTTGGTTACTTGGCCGTGGATAACGATGAAAAAGGTGACCATGGATATCGACGCACCCTCTAAAATGGTAACAACACTAACCACAGCCCAATCAACAGCCTTTGCGTGTGCCGGTACCACAGGGCGCGTTTCGTTTGGATTCGCATCTCATTACCACTCTTTCGCTATCCTCAATGCATTGACTGGTGACAAGGGTACCACGTTTACAGTAAGTTCTGTAGGAGACTGGACGTTAAAATTGAACGCAAAAGGATCAGAAGGTGGGGGTGTATATCCATCTCATGTGCCCAAACCTCATACGATGTATGTTCGCCGGTTTGCAGCACCAGGATTCATGTATCTCGCACGAACATATAAACGCGTCGTGTGTGTGGGAACTGGTGCTGGGATTGCTCCGATTGCCTCGTATCTGCCTGACCCAACCACAAATATGCTATTACTCTGGGTCGGTAGGGACTTCAAATCTACCTATGGCGCATTGTAGGATACTATCATCAAACACAAAGACCTCATCATGGTGGACATGACGCTTCCTTCTAGTGTGGACAACCCATGCGAACCACTATCGGATGAGATTCTGTATTCAAGCGCCACCACCCCAACCGCACAGCTAGCTGCGATGGGCGAGGGGACAAACAGCGATCAACATGAAAACCTCGAGCGCAAGCAGAGCATCGCTGAGTTGACCATTGCTTACTTAGAGGCGGAAGACAATGCAGCTGACACTGCGGCAGCTCAGAATGTTAAAATAGACGTGCCTTGTGTCGAGCTCAAACAGGGTAACAAAATATTCCCAGCTATCTCATTTTGTCCCACAGGTACAGTGGCGCTTGTGAATGAAGAGCAGGCAGAGGATGCGGTTCCTATCCCGCCACCGGGTAAAAAAAACGTCCCAATTTGTCAAAGCTCACACTGGCAGCAGTTGAGGTATACAAAGCAGACGCAGTGTTCATTGTCTCTGGTCCTAAACCAACTTATGATCTCACACATGCGCTCTGGAAGCGTGGCATCCCGGCGTACGGTGCCACGTGGGATAGTTAAGGATGACACTTCATAGCGATAAGAAAAGTTGATCTCATTCGCAAACATCGAGACAATACAGACTTTTTAAAAATACAAAGCACATACTATCGAATCTCTTATACTTTGAGTTGCTTGCTGTATAAATATAGACGCTCCACTAGCATTCGCTAGTATACTTTTGTCTGTGTTTGGAGGTGGTTTCAAGTTGTCCGAGGTCGCAGTCTCTAAGGATATCAAATGGGGCAGACTAAATGTGGTTAAATGTTGCGTAGATATATAAGAAATCTTTTAACTGGCCAGGTCAAAATCGGGAAATGGACGGTGAAGACGAATGCACACAAGCGCTGATAGAAGCGGGGTGCCTTTGTGCGAATAAGCATTCTATACAGTCTTCATTCGATAGTATCTTCGGTATACTAGCTAATTGTGATATCTTTTTGAGAGATTTTAAGCCTGAAGTGATGTAGGAGCAACCATCAGTATAAGTATTGTACATGAAAATATCGCTAGTGTCCATCCGGAGATCAAAACGTTCCACAACACGATCACTCCTTTTAATCTTTGCAAGCAGCCCTTGTTCTGGCTCACGCCCTGTCGAAATTGCTGCTACAATACCTAACCATTGCAAACTATATTATGACACGAACCTTTGTCGCTATTATACACAATGGCCTGTGCTTACAAGCTATAGACCATTATGCGTCAATTTGACACTAATAGCCCGTCGCAGCATTGGCGTTGAGCGAAGTGTTTACAGTCGGCGTCTCTCCAGGGGGACGCCGAGGCATTGCAACCGGCCTAGCACCTACTTGGCTGTGTGATATCGTCTGGCGTAAGTTTTTCGGTTGGTTCTCGCTGGCGGTACTTGCACTCACAGGGTTTGGTTGTGAAAGACTACTCGACAGCGGAGACGCAGGTCTTACCCTAGGGTAGAGGGACGTCTGAACGGGGCTCAGCCTGCCTCCCTGCGTGTACGTTGTCCTTGGACTTACCGACAGACGTCCATTCCCCGGTCCTGCTGAGCAAGACCTCGACCTGGGCAAGGCCTGAGGAGGATCCCCATTGTCAAAGTTCTGTGCCAGCGAGTCATGGCTGCCCACACGGCCCCTGTCAGGTAGTGAGCTCACCACGTCATCCGCGCTTCTAAGCTCTGCGGGAGAACTGGGCATTACGGATCGGATCTCCAGCACTCCCGGTGTACTGGCACGTCTCGTGTCTATAGGCCTCCGAGGTGTGACTAACGGCCCTGTCTCATCGGAATGGGTTCGGGTGCACGAGGGAATGGGGGCTTGACCGGTACGTGGCGGTATAGTCACTGGTGTCGGCGTGCTTGGGTTTGTGGTCGCTTCTGCATGTGTAGTCACAGACTCACCAGTGTGCATCAGCCGCGGGATGTTATCCGGCAGACCCCCACTGCCACTGGGCTTAAGTATAGCGTCCAAGGCTTCCGCGGCCGACAGTTCGGGACTCTCCGTGCGCGTGCGCGATGCCGGCATCACCACACCCGCACTACTACCAGACCGCTCGCGTATATGGTCCACGTGGATGGAGAAGTCTCGGGGTATATTCGGCTGTGTGCGGATGGCCATAGACTGTGTGGCGTGTACTGGCAGACGACGAGAGGAGTGCCCGTGTTCGGTGGTGGGGCTGACGTTGCCAACGGTCACAGGCGGGATGCCCATACTCCCGGCACGCCCCACGGTGGCATGACTCTTGGAGCTGAAGGACACGGATTCTGATTGGAGTGCGTTTAAAACGTGGTCCGGCAACCGACTGGGTACTTGCGGTTGTGGGGATTTTGGTGGCGGTTCGGATTGGCGCGCACCGAGACCGGAAAAGTCCATTACATTGTCGTACGAAAGGGACTTCCTGTACGACAAAGAATGCAGGTAAACGTACAATAAGAATGTAGGTAAATGTAGAAACAGAATGCAGGTAAACGTAGAATAAGAATGTAGGTAAATGTAGAAACAGAATGCAGGTAAACGTACAATAAGAATGTAGGCAAATGTAGAAACATAATGCAGGTAAACGTAGAATAAGAATGTAGGTAAATGTAGAATAAGAATGCAGGTAAACGTA